CATGTGAGGACACAGTGAGAAAGCTGTTATCTGCAAACCAGGAAGAGAGTTCTCACCAGGAACTTTGAGCTTGGACTTCCCAGCATCCAGAAATGTGAGAAATAAAATTCCATTGTTTAAGCTACCTAGTCTATGGCATTTCGTTATGGCAGCCCAAGGAAACTAATTCAAGGAGGTACACTAGAAACCAGTAAAATTATCCATAAAACACATGGCCTTTTCTCATAAACTGCCCACTATATTTTTAGTTGTAACCTTGAATCTGTATTTATGCTCGTCTTGAGGTTCCTATGAAAACAATTCTGATAAACTGGGACTGGCTGTGCATAGCCAGTTGCCAAAATGTGGGAACAGGAGACCATATACATAGTGAGTTCAAGTTTCCTTACAAGGTGGTTGTTAGAAAGTGATATGCAATTGAACAGGAAGTGGCAACCTCAGGGTTTCCCCGATTACACTGAAACCAATCACATGTGTTTGATGATTTTACCTCTGTCTTCGTGGAAATTCAACTTCACTATCTACTTCCCCTTCTTCCTCTTCTGAGGACTCATCTCCACTCTAAAGAAAACCAAGAGAAAAGAATTTTATTTCTCTCTCTCTCTCTCTCTCTCTCTCTCTCGCGCACACACACACACACACACGGTCCTTGCAAAGATTTAGTCATCAAAAGGCATTGAGTAGTAGCTTTCTGAGTGTCATCTTTAAACATACATATCTTCACTCATTGTTTTAGCAACTTTTCCTGGGTGTCCATGGTGACAGGCCTTGCACTAGATGCTGGAAGACATACAGAACTGAATAAAACATATCTTTGCCCTCAGGGAGGTGAAGGCTCCATGAGCATGTCCAGAGGTGAGTGACAGAGACAGAGAGGGGAAACTGGAGAAGAGGTCTTGGAGTGGGGGCAGGCTCATGCAATCATTGTCACTAGTGGTTCCAGGCTTTGTCATAGAGACTTCACCAAGAAGTGATCTTTCAATTGTTCAAAGCCCAACAACTACTTTTCCCCCTTTCACATACCAACCCCCTTTCACTGACATGATAGTCATTATGTGTATCATCTCCACTACTGAGACATACATCATTTGAGAGTCAGACCATATCTTGTTGTACTGTACCCCTCACTCCACCATTAATACAATGCTGCCTATAGAGCAGGTGCTTAGTACATTACATTATTGAGTCAGCATGTTGGCCGGACAAGGGCCATCCGAGGCCTCATGGTTGCGGGGTTCTGTGGTTGATCTGGAAGGCTGGGTAAGTGTTCTGACTGAATAAATGATCTTCCCTCGCAGGGAAGCTTCCATTTCTCTTCAAGTGCACAGGAGTAGCCACACTCAAACCAACCGTCCTTAACCACAGCGACACTACGTACCACATTACTACAATCCCTGTGAGGCAGGTAATTGGGTCCAAGTAATTGTACCAAAGATCGAGGATAATGTGCTTTGAAAGTCAGTTCTAACGTTACTCTTACCTACTTGCATTCCGATGCTTTCTGAGTAGGAAAGACAGGGATGGAGGTACCCTGATGCTAAGATGAGCCCTTTACCCCAGAGGCACACATGGGAGTATATGTCAGTAGAGAGAAGTCGAATTGCCCCCTGGGAGTGTGGTTCTAATAAGACCAAATGTATAAGGTGTGTGCTCTGTGGCCGGCAGACCATAAAAGGCAGTATGTTCAAGTAGGTGAGGGAAAGGCTGGATTATACTAGGTTTCTGCATGATTTCTCAAAGTCTAGGACTTGCTAATGTACACGAGGAATTTCCTGGAGGGGACAGAGAATACAATGTTAACCAAAACCTGTTTTATAATCGGATCTTTCCTTCTTGCAACATCCTTCAGGACTGGGCTGAAGTAGTGGTTTCCAAACGATTTTGATTTCATATCCCTAATATATGGTTGTCTATTTATAAATGATGTACATTTCAATCAGTCCACTAGTTCAATAGTTCTCAAAATGTATTTCTAAGTCCTTCACTTAAGCAGTGTGAAAAGAAAATATTTAAAATAAAGAAGCTCCTGTTTATTCTCTTGTTAGCTCATCCTTTTACAAAATGTGCACTTGTGTATGTTTTACAATGCACGTACCACGACAGGCTCTGGCATCCACGAAGGCAGTGACGCCCACGCTGTCCTTACCTTTTGAAGGGGCCTTGTTTTTCGAGGTAGCGCTGGTGGGGTGATGTGATGAGGGACGCCAAGGGACGAGGCAGACCTACAGCCACTGAATTCTTCATTTTCTTCCATTTTCTCAGAACCTTGGGCATTTTCTGAGAGGAGATTGTGTGCTGGTGACTTGAAAAGGTCGGGGCTCCTCCCCACCGGCTCAGCAAAGGGACTGTCTAGGGGCCCGCACTGCTCCGGCCTGCACTGGACGCAGGGGTCATAGGGGTCAGCCTGGCAGCAGCCCCAGGGGCCGGCCTGGCCCTGGGCAGGCTCAGAACTTCTCCAGCCATCTGCTGCCACGGCTGTGGAGATGAGGTCAGGGCTGGAGCCAGGCATCTGTCTCTGAGCGTGGTTGCTGAGCGGGCTCCGCAGGGCAGCCGCGGGGCCAAAGTACCTCAGGTTGTTGGCACAGGTGGCAATGTCCTGGCCGTGCACATTGAGCCTGGGATGGTGACTCTGAGACGTGGCGGGAGGGGGCTGCTGGTACTGCTGCTGCAGAGAAGGGTGCTGGGGTTGAGCCTGGTGTAGATACGTGGGGTGGGGTGAGTTTTCGGGGGCCGGCTGGTTTTTCAAGATTGCTGCAAAGTCACTATGGCTGCCTCGGCTATTCCCCCGGCGGTGGCGTGGTTTGCTCCGGTACCGGCTCTTGCCGCCTGAGGTGGACATTTTGGGGCTTCCGGACAAAGGGGATGCAGCGGGAGCCACCTCCACACTGGGGATGCCTTCTGATCGCAGCAGATCCGGCCTGGGAGAACAGAGCAGGTTTAGCTTTAAACACATGAAAACACATATTCAGGTTTGGGGAACTCTATCCCAAGCCTTAAAACACACCGTTTGAATCAGCAGCCACACCCAGGGATTTACCCAATGGAGGAAATGGATGTCCACAAAAACGTGTGTTTGAAGGCACTGGGTTAATGTATTGCTTAAAACAGCAGAAATGTGGAAACTACCTAGATGTCCGCTTACGGGGGATTCCCGTTATGCCTCCTGGGTTTCATCTGTGCCTCACTGCCCAAGGCGCGCAGTCCCTTTAAACTCTAACTCTGCCCGACAGGTTTCTGGATCTCCTCCTCATAGTATCAGCCATCAGCTTGGTGCCAACATGCCAGCACACAGGCATGGGCGATTGCCCACGACCAGAAATCTGTCTGGTGATGGATGGGGATAGATCCTACAGGGATCACAGCGGAGAGAGTTCTGGTACCAGGGACGGACACCTCGGGGTAATGAGGCAAGAGGCTAAGTTCAGAGAGTCAGGTGCAGACACGTCTTCTTGAGGGCTGGGCTATGTCATATTCATGTTTGTCTGTGAAGGACACTAACAAGGAGTCTTGATCACAGTAGGGATGCAGTAGTGTTTCAGGAGGAGGGGACATGGGGGTGGAGCCCGAAGACAGGACACAGTAGACAGCCCAGGAGGTTGAGCAGAGGCAGCGAGAGAAGGCTCCTGAGGAGTGGCCCCGGCACTGCACTGTGCTCCGACAGGGAGGAGTCCTCTCCCAGCCCCGCTGTCACATGCCCCCCGGGCCAGCCATGCAGCCCGTGTCCAGGAGGAAGCTGGCTCCGGAGGTGAACGCTGTGCACACGGACTTCAAGGCACATACTAGTAGGTCAGCAGTAAGTGCTTTCTGAACCGATGAAGCGATTCTGGCAGAGATTCTAGGACACCAGGGAGTATTGCTACCTCCTCCCCACCGAGGAACTGCCATTGAACTGTCCAAATAATCTAGCCTCACCCTCCTCTGGGACCAGACAGATACAAATTGGCAGGAGCTTTCAGGGCTGGAGGCCACCCCCTAGTTTTCTTAACAACAGAATCCTTTACTCAAATTAATTATTAGGAGAAGCCCAGTATCTGAAGCAGATCTAGTGGGACAGCTGAAGAGGCCCCTCCCTGCAGGGTCCTCATTCTCTCCACCCTGCAATCGGACCTGAGGTCCTCTCTATGCAGGCCCTAGGGTACCCCAGACCTTGCTTGGGAACACAGATACAGTCCTGTCCCCACCCTGTGTGATGAGGAACCCAGAGCCCAGCCAAAGTGGCTCCTGGTCCCATAGCTCGTTCCTGGCAGAATGCGGACCAGAAGTCTCCAGCTTATTAGATACAGTATAGTTTGCAGGTGCGTACATGTTACTTGAGAGTTTGTTAAAATGACTGAGTAGGTCTGGGATGGGGCCTTAGGGTCTGCATTTCTAACCTGCTCTCGGATGATGCTGAGCTGAGGGCCTACACTTTGAAGAGCGAGGGCTTAGAGGAAATTAGCCGGCACCAGGCAGTAGGAGGTGGGTCCTTTCTTTCAGGAGAAGTACAGTAAAAGGCTTGCCTTAGCACAGAAGTTCCAGGAGTTACTGGCTTACGATAAGGCTGGTTTACGATAAGATACTGTGCTGCTCTCAGCAGCTTCCTGTCTCGGATTCAGTTCTATGGTCAGTTGACCAGCTTGTGCCTCAGACGGTATCTGGATGGAGGAGGCCCTGGGGCTTTTGTTGAGGCAAGAGGGCCCTCAAGCCTCAGTCAGGGGCGTCTACTTACACAGAGGCTGGCTATGGTGGCATCTAAGAGAGCTGAGGATAAAGTGTCCTACGTCAGGTGAAGGCTGCTTTCACTGAAGCTGACAGCGCAAACATCACAGGACAACGTTGACACAGCACGTCACAGTTGACAAAGCACTTTGCATTATATAAACCACTTGTTTCTTATTATTACGATATCCATTTTACAGAGAAAGGCACTGAGGGATCAGGGCGGTTAGTTGTCTTGTGTCCATCACAAAGCAAGTAAATGGCAGAACTCAAAAACTGACCCCAGGTCTTTTGACTCTGAGGAACAGTTCTTTCCCCGTTCCAAGCTCCTGCTTATTTCAAGGCATTTAGACAATCTTATTGGCCTATCCCAGTGGTCGGCAAACTGCAGCTAGTGAGCCACATGCAGCTCTTTGGCCCCTTGAGTGTGGCTCTTCCTAAGCCTTAGGAGTACCCTAATTAAGTTAATAACAATGTACCTACCTATATAGTTTAAGTTTAAAAAATTTGGCTCTCAAAAGAAATTTCAATTGTTGTACTGTTGATATTTGGCTCTGTTGACTAATGAGTTTGCCGACCACTGGCCTATCCTCACTTGTGACAGGCTCGGTGGATCCATAATGGAACTCTGGCTCTCTTCTTTCTAGTCCTTGACCGAACATACCCTGAAGCCTAGGCTAAAGGATGGTGGATGGTTTCTCCTCTCTGCTCCCCTCAAAGGTCACTGGCCTTCTGGTTTGATAATCATTGAACCGTCCAAATAATCTGAAACTTAACTCCATTAAGGGGCAAGCAGCTGAAAATACTCTTCACAGCTCTAGTACCCATCCAGGTTACTTCCTGGACAAGTTCAGTTGGCTTGTAGACTAAGCATCTGCTGATGGTGCAAACTCCTTCAAACACATTTCCCACAGCACATGAGCTCATATTCTGTAAAAGTAAACATGAGCTCATATATTGAAAAAAAAGGTACTATTGTCCCCCCACCCCCCACTCCAATGCTCTTAGTTTTAACTATAGGCAGAATGCAGGGAGGACCAGCAGGCAAATTTGGTCCCTATTTAGGACACCCAAAGAAAGAGGTGTTGGGCTTCCAGCAGGGTCTTACCAGGTACTATCTGAAAACAATTTCTCAGAACTTGAGCAGGCGATAGTCAGGAGTGGTAAGTAAAAGCGAAACTGGAGTTAATCCATGGAATTGCTCACTAGTAGTTTAGATTTACATTAGTCATGGTCTCGGGCCACCTTTCTGAAAGCCTTAGAATAGATTCTTCGTTTGCATTTTTTCATTACTTTTATTCTTACTGCATTTAGCTCACGTCTCACTGTTGGGCCCACCTCCCAGGTTTAGGGACATTTCTTTCCTTTCCATTAATTTAGCTAGGACAAAACCAACTCTCCATGATTTGGGAGGAATGCGGCTCTTGCAGAACTTGGTAAGAAACACTGACTGGAAGAGCATTTTAAGGTTAAACTAATTCAGTATTTTAGATCTGTGGTTAGGGTCCAAGTTTGTAGTGGGCTGAGTCAGGTTATATGTGGATTTCCCACTAAGCAGGTGGTTGGCACCCCTAATCTCCACATTATTCAAGGGCCAACATAAAAGGAAAATGTGTTATAATTAGGAAAAAGGGCAATCTTTAAAAAAAAACTATTAAAAAATCCACTTTTTGAGTACCTGTGATTTATTAGGTGACCTCACATATTATCTTATTTAAACTTCACAAAAGTCCCTTGCAAGAGTGGAATGAGGGGAACCATATGGGCAGATAGAGGTAATTATCAAAGCTGCTTTGGTAGCACATATACGAAAATTGGGCGATACAGAGAAGATTAGCATGGTCCCGTGCAAAGATGACCCGCAAAATTTGTGAAGTGGAAAAAACGCCCCCAAAACAAGTCCCTGCCTTCATTTTTTTGTGTGGTGGATTTATGGGTACTTATTACATTATTAAAATAACTAACTAAATGAATAAATAAAAGTGGGTCATGTGTGGACCAATGTTGCCTAAATTGAGAATTATAATTAACCCAATTCTGTGTATTAGGGGCCAAAGAAGAAATCTCATGTGCTATAGTTATACCATTTTACCATGGGGCTGAAAGAGGGCAACTGACATGGCCCAAATCACACAGCTCATAATGGGCCTAGCCAGGATTCAAACCCAGGTCTGTCTGCACCCCCCCGCCCCCCCGTTTATTTCTCTTTTCACTATTCTATGCTAAGAGAATAAATATCTATGCCTCAGATAGTAAAGCATGGATCCCTAGGGTCCATGACACACTTTCTCTCAGCTTTCCACTCTGTTTTATCTAGAGGCACATGTGTTAATGATGAGGTAGGGTGGCCACACTCACCATCGTCTGATAATGTATTTTTAGGGAGATAGTTCCCCATTTCTCTGAATACCAGGTCAGCACAAGAGTCTCACCGTTTGGTCTGCACCCCAGGTTTGTGAGGCACGCCTTTCCTTTTCATGAGCTTCTCCATGGCATTGGGGTGGATTATTGGACGGACAGGGTGTCGCTTGTAGGTCCCAGGATACTTCTTTTCCACGGCTTGCTCACGCCTGCAGAAAAAAAGAAAAAGCTCATCTCAGCCACCGCAGACAGACAAGATGGGCAGAATGTTGCACAGGCTAATTCCACCCACAGATTCAGGCCACCTTACCAGGTGCAGGCCATTTGAATAACAAGGTTGCTATTCAGGTAAAAAGGGGATAAAAAAGATACTAAATTCAACTTAATCTGATTTCATTTTTCCCTTCAACTCATAGGTGAACTCGGAGACTGACCTTCCCTCCACAGTACACCTCATGAGAGACACAACGCAATGGTAGAAGTCCTACTGATTTCAGTAGCTGCTGTGTTGGTCAGGACACTGGGATTTTCTTGCCATTCTCAGGAATACCCAAAACCACTTGCAGAAGCCACCTCACTTCCCCAGGGGGCAATAAGCCCCCACTCAACAACATCCAGCTCTCCATGAAATGGCACCCCTTCTTTTTTAAAAAATATATTTTATTGATTTTTTACAGAGGGATAGAGAGTTAGAAACATCGATGAGAGAGAAACATCAATCAGCTGCCTCCTGCACACTCCCCACTGGGGATGTGCCCGCAACCAAGGCACATGCCCCCGACCGGAATTGAACCTGGGACCCTTGAGTCCGCAGGCTGACGCTCTATCCACTGAGCCAAACCGGTTAGGGCGGCACCCCTTCTTGAGCCATTCAGCAGGGTGAAGTGGCAAATAGCTATCAGTGCATGCTCCCCTAGAACCAGCTCTGCGGCAACTCCACTCAACCGGAAACCTCCCCAGGGGCAGGGACTGTGCACCCCCCCCAAAAAAAAATGTTGGGTGGATGAATAAGACATCTGCCAGTTCTGAGTAGCAGCAACATGGAAGAGTAGTACATTTCTGCTGATGGATAGACCACATCAACAAGGGCAGACAGTGGTCTGGATGCATACTTAATGAGCTCCTTCTCCCGCATTTCCAGCTGCAGCATGATGGCACTCAGCTCCATGTATAAATTATTAGCCCGCTCAAGTTTTCTCTCGTAGTGTTCACGAATGTCCAAAGCATGCCTACCAAAGAAAACACAGGATCAGTGAAATCAACCAACTCGGGGGAGGACAAAAGTCAGCTCTCATGAAGTAAGAACCAGAATGGTTGATGTTAAAAGCATTTGCCCAAGGGCCCCCTAGATTAAAGGCTCCCTTGTCCGATGCAACGACTCAGCCAAGATGTAGTGGGAGATGGAAAATCTAAGCTTTCCATTTGGTTTATCCTTAGGGGCCATATCCAGCCATATAGAATAGCCAGGAGGGCCACAGGTAAAATGTGAATGGGATTTGTGCATAATTTGTAGCCTTTGTGTAGCACTGATAATATCATAATAAGAATACAGTATAACTCATTGTTAATGGAAATATGCAGTTGGAGCTGATACCATGATCACTCATTTATACTTATCTGTGGCACAGATCCTGCCTAATTATAGTGGTTATCTATGAACATGTCTTGCATCCCTTAACAGATTATAACCATCTTGAGACCAGGGACTACATCTTATAAGTTTCTGGCCTTCCATGTCACCTAGGACAGGGGCTGAGTGGACAAATAGCATTGCTCTGGGAATCTTCATTGCAGAGATACAATGAAAGAGGATAACAGAGTGGCAGGGGGCAAGGAGGGGAGGATAAGCCAGTGATATAAAGGAGAGCAAATTTGAAAGAGAATTAACAATAAACAGCACAGGAAAAGGTGTGTAGAAAGTGAAGCAGTGATTCACAAAGTGAGTTCCTGCTAACATCTGGAGACCTGGGGATGGGAAGAGGTGGAGGAGAAAGCAGCTGACCTGAGCTCTTCTCGCCGCCTTCTAATCAGCTCTTCATCCAAGCGGTGTATACAAGTCCCTTCACTTTTGATCTTCTCAAAGTGTTTTTTCACTTCTTCTCTCCATTCAGCCTGGGTGAGGATAAATTAGACTTCGTTAATATTCTACGAGTTTCAAACCCTGATACAGCCATAGGCTCATGTATAAGATTTTTTTTTTCTGTAAGCTTTTCCTGAAGAACTTTATAGAATAGATGTTCAATTAATATTAGTCAACAGCAAAATATCTCATGAAAATGCACCTGCACACCATATCCCACCCCATTTTCTGAGTCCAACATTCAATGCCATCTCTTGTCTAGTTTCCTGGGCCACGAGAACCATCACAGCTAGCATACCAGCTATCACCTCTGCGAGTCAAGAGGGCAGCAGAGAAAGCCTGGCTAGAAAGGATGGCCATGATAACCATCTATATATATAAAAGCCTAAGCGACTGAATGACTGAACAACCCAACAACCAGTCCACTGGTCACTATGATGTGCACTGACCACCAGGGGACAGATGCTCAACACACAGGACCGGGCTCCCTCCTGTCTGGATAGGGCCTGTGGGGATTGGGCTCCCTCCTGTCTGGATCGGGCCTGCAGGGATCAGGCCAAAACCAGCTATCTGACATCCCCCAGGGGGTCCTGGATCGTGAGAGGGCACAGGCCAGGCCAAGGGACCCCACTGGTGCATGAATCCGTGCACCAGGCCTCTAGAATGGTACAAGTGCATGTCAGTGAGAACATGCTCATCTTTACAACTGGCACCAGCATTTGTCTTAGGTTCTGTGTATGAAAAAACTTGAAAAAATATTTGGAGGAGAAGACCCAAGGGGCATGAACAGCAGGTGATGGGAATAAAAATACAGAGAATTATACAGGAATTTGGGAGTGAGACTACTAAATTCGTGAGGAATTTAGTAGGCTGACAAAATACTTAAGACAGAAAGGATGTCTAATATGTGATTTAAGTTGTTCAAAATGTAAGTCTTTTCCAATGTCCCAAATCTTTAGTAAAGTCTCTTGACATTCACCCTGACTTTGCATATGTGTTTTTGTTTTTTTAGAAATCAAGAAAAGGTGCTGAACTTCATGGCAGGGGTGGGGGCCAAGAATTTTAGGAAGGCAGAGCCAGAGTGGCCATGAAATTATAAATCTCCAGGAATTCACAGGAGTGTTAGGACATTGGACTTTCCATAGGGCATGTAATTTCAAGCCAATTTTATCTAAATTTTAGGGGGCAGGGAAACCTCTGGTGGAATATAGTCTATATAGGCAGTTTCTCAAAAAACAGCTAAGGATATATTTCCTCAAATTATGTATGGACTACCATCCCTGGAAGCTAATGAGGTTAACATAACTTCCAGTGAAGGCTAGACACATCACTAAATGTTTCCAATTGCATAATCTTCCTCTAGAGCTATTCTATTACCTTCAGATTTGTGTTAATAGTGATCCCTCTAGATCATGAAGAAGTTACACTTAAGTGATTGTGAAATTACAGAAGGTTTCTCCCAAAATATGCCATTTATCATTTATTTTTATAGAGGAAGTTATATTATAACTAGAGGCCCAATGCACAAAATTTGTGCAAGGGGCTTGGCCCTCGCAGCCCCAGCTTCATCTGGAAGGTTGTCTGGAAAGTCATTCGGCTGTCTGGTCTAATTAGCATATTATGCTTTTATTATTATAGATTATTTAGAAAGTGATTATCCTGACTATCCATTTATAATATGCTAGATCTTCATATATATGTTGACTCTGACTGACAAAAATTAACTTTTGTGTACTGAACCTGCCAAACAATGCCATCAGAAAGCCAAGGTCCAGAACGTGCTGTCCATTATTTGATAGCAGTCTTTGACAGTATCCTATATAATAAAAGCCTAATATGCAAATCAACCGAACGGTGGAACAACCGGTCACTATGACACGCACTGACCACCAGGGGGCAGATGCTCAACACAGGAGCTGCCCCCAGCCCGCAGGCCCCAGGCCAGCCAAGGCAGGTGCCAGTGGGGGCCCCCCAATCGCCCCACCCATCACCCCACAGATCAGCCCTGATCGCCGGCCAGGCCTAGGGACCCTACCCATGCATGAATTTTGTGCACCAGGCCTCTAGTCTAAGCTATAAATGCAGGTTTGGTTGAGCCCCAGGTAATGCTGTTCTTTTAATCATCAGATCAAAATCATGAGGTAGAACGAGTATTGAGCTTTAAGATGCCAAAGATTGATAATCAAGAGTTGTTAGACCAAAAAAGAATAAGGGGGAGAATCAAACTTAGGCCTTAAAGTGTCCTCTTCATACAAAAACCTGTCAGTGATTCCAGTACAGTACTTAAAGGAACCAGGAAAGGGAATACCTCCATCTGGTGGTGAGGAATGAGATATGATATGGCAGATCTATTTATTTATTATTTTTTTAAAATAAATCTTTATTGTTGAAAGTATTACATATGTCCCCTTTCCCCCCGCTATTTATTTTTTAATTCTAGAGAAAATAAACCTCTTGATATTTAGCTTATGGGTGTATGGGTTAGGGAAACTTAAAGAGAACATCCTGAAGATTGAAACCTATTAAAAAAGTGAATTTCCAAAAAGAAGTTCCCTCTTGTGAAGAGGGAACAGGACGTGTGGGAAGACAGCAGGTACTGATTAATCATGCTTTCCCCAAAGGTATCATGTGACTGGTAGATGTTAATTTTGGAGTTCCATCACATACACTTAGAATCTTTATGTAATAGGAGTTCCAACTGGCACTTAATCTGCAGCTCAGACATGTGTGGGCATATGTGAAGCCAATTTGACAGAGACCGAGGAGCCTCTGAGAGAAAACAGTCATGCAGGAAGGATTCCTGCTTTAACTTGACCTATAAAAAAGCCACCATCACTGGGGAGGAGCGGCACTTTCCACTGTTTCACTAAAATACCTGTAAGATGTTGCCATAACCAGCACTGCCCCATTGCTTTTAACAAAGTGTAAGCCAACAGGGAAAGGAAGAGTTCATTGTGTAAACAGGACAATGTGCAGCTTTGGAATCTTATAAAGTCCAGAGCTGCAGTTACAGCAGGAAATAACAGCTCCCATGGGTGGTGGTGGTGCCCTAAGGATAAGGGGGCACCTGGTGGATGCCAGCCGGGGATCACAGTCCTTTAGAAGAAAGCAGTGCTATCCAATAAAGCAACACCTGGCAGATGCTAGGCGGGGACTGCTGTGTCCAGCCAGAGCCAGTGGAAAGCAGAGCAGATGCTGTTCATTTGAGGCTGACACCCTACTCTTTATGGGGATTTCCCCCAAATGCATGTGGAGAATGGAAGGAGGGAGTAGGGGGTGCCTCAAGGTACTTACATCCCCTGTGAACAGATAAGAGAAAAATCCAGTAAAACCTAGGTTATTACCATTAATGGGATCCTCTTTATGTCCCAGATCAGGCTTGGGACATAAAGAGGACATTTAGGTTTTTGACTTCTCCAGCCTTCCACTTATTCAGTCAATAGCACTGAAGCTCTTGCACCCAAGCCTTGCTTCTTTTCTCTCCCATAATATAGGTGTCAAAATGAAGTTGAGTTAACAGAAGAATGGATCAACAACATGTGGGTATATCCATTCAGCAGAACATTATTCAGCCATATAAAGGAATGAAGTTCTGATGCATGCTACAACATAGATGAATCTTAAAAACATTCTAAGTGAAACAAAGTTAAATGAAGGATCTAGAATAGGTAAATTCATCAAGCAGAAAGTAGAACAGAGATTAGCAGGGGCTGTGGAGAGGAGGGAATGAGAAATTATTGCTTAATGGGGTGATGAAAAATTTTGGAAACAGATCAATAGTTTCACAACATTGTGAATGTAATTAATGCTCCTGAACTATATGGTTAAAATGGAAAATTTTATATTATATACTAGAGGCCCAGTACACAAAATTTGTGCATGGGGTGGGGGGGATCCCCTCAGCCCAGCCTTCACCCTCTCCAATCCGGGACCCCTTGGTAGATGTCTGACTGCCGGTTTAGGTCTGATCCCGGGGATCGAGCCTAAACCGGCAGTCGGGCATCCCTCTCACAATCCTGGACTGCTGGCTCCTAATCACTCACCTGCCTACCTGCCTGGTTGCCCCTAACTGCCCCCTTCCTGCTGGCTTGGTCGCTCCTAACTGCCTACTGGCCTGGTCACCTCTTACTGCCCTCCTCTGCCATCCTGGTCGCCCCCATCTGCCCCCTTCCTGCTGGCCTAGTTGCCCCTCACTGCCCCCTCCTGCCAGCCTAATCGCCCCCAACTGCCCCCCCTGCCGGCCTGGTCTCCCCATGCAGCCTGCTTGTTCAGTTGTTTGGTCATCCCTCAATAACCCCCTGCCAGCCTGGTCATAGGCAGCCAGCTTGTGATGGCATGAGGGTTAATTTGCATATTACCTCTTTATTATATAGGATATTTTACCTCAAAGTAAAAAAAGAATGAGTTCCAGCCTCTCTTGAGGAATACAGAAGCAGGATTTCAGGGGGCTACGTAGCAGGAAATCATAGATTCTGAGTCAGTAAAGACTTAGATGTGGTAAGCCCAACTCTTGATTGGCACAGAGTCCTGTTTCCTGCCTCCCATGTAAGGACCCACTTCCAGCCTAAGCACCTACTTGCTCAGGACGAGACTACTTTTTGTTTGTTTGTTTGTTTGTTAATCCTCACCCAAGGATATTTTTCTGTTGATTTTTAGAGAGTGGGAGGGAGAGGGAGAGACAGAGAGAAACATCGATTGGCTGCCTCCTGCGTGCACCCCAACCAAGGCCAGGGAAACTGCAACCCAGGTACATGACCTTGACCGGAATCGAACCCGGATTCTTTAGTCCACAGGCTGACGCTCTATCCACTGAGCCAAATGGTTAGGGAATGACAAGACTACTCTTGAGGCAGCACAGTTTTACAGTGAATTTAGTGCCTCTGCAGCTCCCCTGAATTAATGGTGGTCGTAGTGGCACTCAAAAGGAAATTAGAATGATGCAAAGGCAGAGGGTGGTGGAGAGCTTAGAAGCAGGGCACACGGTCCATTTGGCAGCTGGGATTTGGGACCAGGCTAAAATGGTTTCTAAAGACCAATATAAAATGTAATTGAATACCAGAAGCAATAAGTGCCTACTTGGAGAAATGGGTTATTGCTTAAGAATGAAGCAATAGCTGTGGCAGAATCTAATATTGTACTGAAATTGGTTGCTTTGTTCATTTGTGCTATATATGCTGCGTCTTCACACATGTGCCGCTGATGAGAAACAGATGAATGAAGCATTTTCTCTTAGGCTGGGGCAGTGCTCTGGACTGACAGTTTTGGTGGGAGGTGGAAATGATGGCCAACAACCATTGATTAATAACTGATGCTGATAAGATTTTGTCAGCAGGCAGGAGGAGGTGAGGCCTCAGATGCAAGACTGCTACAGCAAAGCAAAACCATGTGCGAATAACCAGCTCTTCTCCACCCGGGGGGCATAATGTCAAAGTACAATGAATATTCCCTACTGCCATCTTATCCATCTCAGGAGGTCATCAGAAAAAGTACCAGAATGTAACAACCCAAAGGAGGCTTAATTTCTGTAGCTTTGTGGGAGGTTCTCTACAGTTTACAAATCATTCGCACTTTTATTGTCTCACTTGGTCCTCAACAAAACTCCACCAGGACGGGAAGATATGATTATCTTTATTGTTTAGATGAGTAAGCTGATGTCTAGAGAATGTAGTGAGTTATCCAGGATCATAGGACAGGGGTTTAGACTCAGGGCCTAATTCTAGAAACTAGCAAGGATAGCAGATTTTGGGGCTCTTTAAGGAGAAGTACAATTTTATGTTGGGAGAAAAATGTGGAAGAATTAATGAATATTAAAAGATATCCAATGTAACAAGTTTTTCTTCTCTCTTCCTTCCCTTCCCCTCCCTTTCTTCTTCCTTTCATATTCTTGCTCCAAAAGAACCTTTTCTTTTCTGATCTCATCTGTGCTATATATGCTGCATCTTCACACATTTAGCACTGCATGTGCTGATAAAAGTGAGCTTGTACAAGTGAGGACACCGACTGTGGGTGCTGGGTTGTACCATACTGTGCTTGGCACATGTTGGGGGCTTAACACACGTTGCACTGGCTAAGAAGTGATATTCTGGGAGCACTCAAGGAAAATCTGCTTAGAAATTAAAGTTTCCCAAGTATATACAGTTATACTGTCTCAACAGCTTGTGACTTAGCATGCTCACAAAAACTGCTTTTCAAAATTGTGGTATGTATAGTTTTATAGTCACTGTATAGTAAAGGAAGCAAAGCTGGGGTTGCAACCAGACCCTATGCTGGAAAGATTTCCTAGAATGCTCACTATTGTTCCCTTTCATTTCACAAAAGGCCCTAAGGTTTTTTTCTGAGCACTAACAGCTATTTGACAGATTTCTTCTCCATGCCCCACACCTACACGTATTTGGATAGGTAATAGTTGTAATCGTTTCAAAGGGAGTTTACTTGAATGCATATAAAAGAACAGAGGAAATGGTATGAAGTCAATCTCCTACATACTCTTATTTTCTCTAAGACAGTGGTTCTCAACCTTCCTAATGCCGCGGCCCTTTAATACAGTTTCTCATGTTGTGGTGACCCCCAATTTCATTGTTACAAATTGAACATAATTAAAGCATAGTGATTAATCACAAAAACAATATGTAATTATATATGTGTTTTCCGATGGTCTTAGGCGACCCCTGTGAAAGGGTCGTTCGACCCCCAAAGGGGTTGCGACCCACAGGTTGAGAACCGCTGCTCTAAGATCAAACACTTTTCTTCCATAGTAATTCCTTAGAAACACTAAAAAACTATAGGGGCAAGCCTAATTAAATATTTAAAGACACAGTTGTGGGAAGAGCTAAGTTTGTGGCTCCATAGAAAGTATGTTGGAACTTTGGGCAGGATAAGAGTCTCTGACTTATCTTTTCGTGGGAACTGCCAGAAGCCCTGTGACTTTATTAAGAAATTCACAATGTCTGATGGGCCGAGTATCTCTATGTCTGTCAGATACCTGAGAAACACATACTCTGAGCCTTGGGTAGGGGCGGGTAGTAAGACATATTGGAGGACTTGTTTAACCCCCAGGATGATGCCCCTCCCAGTTCAGTACTCATTTCTAACACAGACTCTCCTGGTAGGTAAATGCATCCCCCACTGCAGATAGGGGGCGATGAGGAATAGATTGAAACACCGATTGGTAATAAGATGTCTTCTCTGAGAATGAATCTTTTTATTTTTATTGATTTTTTACAGAGAGGAAGGGAGAGGGATAGAGAGTTAGAAACATCGATGAGTGAGAAACATCGATCAGCTGCCTCCTGCACACCCCCTACTGGGGATGTGCCCACAACCAAGGTACATGCCCTTGACTGGAATCGAACCTAGGACCCTTCAGTCCGCAGGCCGATGCTCTATCCACTGAGCCAAACCGGTTAGGGTGAGAATGAATCTTTGAAATGATACTGGAAAATAATGTGGAGATGGAATTCATCTTATAAAAATTCACTTAGAGGCACAGTACCATGAGTGAGACAAAGCTATATGATAAGAAATTAGGTAATACTGTTGTGAAATCCTATAGGCATAAAGTTATAACTTAGGATCATCACACTTATTTTAAAATCCATAGTTTCACCCTATTTTACTCCTTTTGCTATTACCCGGGTCTGGGAGGGATGAGGACCTCACGTACACTTATCTCCGTCCACTCCCTAACCATGTTGATAGAGGTTGGACCACCAATCCTTAGGACATCTGTAGCATTTTCATTTAACAGTGACAAATTCTTCCCCTCTCTGCACCTATCAAGAGGTGATGTCTATTTCTCCATCTGGGTTGGCCTGTGACTTGCATAGCCAAGGAGACATTAGCACGCATGATACACACACAGGCTTAAAACTCACTTGTGCACTGGGCTTGCCCCTTGCTGCATTTGTCACCCCGAGAACACCGTGTGAACAGGCCCACGCTAGCCTGCCGCAGGGTAAGAGGCCACGTGGAGAACTGAGGCCTCTGGCGAATAGCCAACCAGTCGTCAGACCTGAGAATGAGGCCATCTGGAACCTGCCAGCCTGCCAGCCGACCTTGTAACGGACAGCAGACATGTGAGCAAGCCCAAAGCTGGCAGAAGAACTGCCTAGCCCAAATTCCCGACCCACAAAATTGTGAGCTAAACAAAAGCTTATTGTTTTAAGCCATAAGTTTTAGAATGACTTGTAATGCAGTAAAAGCTAACAGACACATTAAATGAGATTTTATTTGGTGCTACTAAGTGACATATAAAGTTGGAGAAAAGGTTCTCTCTGGGCCTGATTCTATCATGGGCTCTTTCTGGTATTTAACTTCCCTCCTCTGTACTGTATTTTTTCTTCTTCAAAGACAGTAATACGTTCATGAAGTTCAGTAGTAATTCTAATTTGCATATATGTACATTACACTTTTCATATCTTCTTTTCCTCTTTCCTCTTCAACAGTTTCACCAGAACCCATTATGAAGATCAGATTCTGATATACATTCTTTTCAAATGAGAGAATACTATATGTGCTCAAGAAACTCCAAAAGGTCACATGTATGAGCATCACAGTTACTGTTTCACAATGAATGGAGTTATATAATTGCTATAAGAATCAGAATGGCTCTCTTCTAAGAATTACTTTTTCTCACTGAGAGCTCCTTGTCTGTTTGTTCAGTAGTAGTACCTGGTAGAAAGTTTCCAAACTTACCTGAGACTTGAAGTAAGTTTCTTGTGGGGTGGCAAGAACATCTGCAGACGCGATGTCCAAGTGCATGAGTGTCTGCCGGAAAGAAGGTCGGTTGCGAGGTTTACTTTGCCTAAATGTAGAAAAAGGCAGCTTGTGCATTTCAGAAGGTATGTCCAGGAGGATAAAGATTTTATTCTACTCTAATAAAAATGAAAGCCATTTTGACTCTATGCATGGCTGTATCTCAGTGTTGATGAAATGAACATCAGTGACCTGTTTGATAATAATCCCTTAGGACTGGTAAAGTAATAATAGCTATTATTTACTAAGGCCTACTATTTCAACATGTACTAAATTCTTTACTTATCAATAGTTCCAAGGCTCCTGGTTTTTATCCTACCAGGTGATTCACTCCCAATACACATTAGAGACTTCCCTGCAGTTCTGAAGATGTTTTAAGTATGGTTTTGAGGAGGAAGGTAAAATAGGATATTGGGAGAAATATATTCCTTACCATGTCTGTTTCATAAGGATTTTGAATCCATCAGGGCAAGTGGAAGGAACTGGAAGATGTAGGCTATTGCTTCCAACACCCCAGATAATGGCCGAAGAGTCTACATCTTTATAAGGGATCTCTCCTGTCAGCAATTCCCAAAGCACCACACCAAAGGACCTGCAGTAGTACCAAGAACATGCACAGAAGACGTTTCAGAAAGGCTGGCTTGTATTTTAGTTCTTTATTCATTTTTTAAAAATATATATTTTTATTGATTTCAGAGAGGAAGGGAGAGGGAGAGAGAGATAGAAACATCAATGATGAGAGAGAATCATTGATTGGCTGCCTCCTGCACACCCTCCACTGGGGATCGAGCCCGCAACCCCGGGCATGTACCCTTGACTGGAATCGAACCTGGGACCCTTTGGTCTGCAGGCTGACGCTCCATCCACTGAGCCAAACCAGCCAGGGCTCTTTATTCATTTTTAATTGAATGTGTACCCAGTTTTAAAATTCTAATACTGCTACAAGAAAAATGGAAACAGCCAGGAAAACTCTAAGAAAGAAAGTCACTGAGAGGTAACCAGCACTACCGATATTAAGACGTTTTATAAGGCTTCAGTGATTAACTCTGGTGCATGAACAGACAGCTACACTAGTGAAATGGAACAGAAATCTAGAAATAGACCAACTACATAGAGGGATTGCATATATGATAAAAGTGACATCTCCAACCAGTGGGGGAAATTGATTATTCAATAGATGCTGTTTGGACAACTAGGGAGAAAATGAAATTTATATGTTATCTTACATAAAGATGAATTCCTAATGAATCAAAGATTTAGTTATAATAATGAAACTAAATTTCCTGAAAAAATACATGGGAATTAAAAAAAAACTTAGAGTGGTGAAGGATTTTCTGATTATGAAATCCAGAAGCCATAAAAGGAGAGAATGATAAGCTAAACTGCATTAAAAAAAAATCTGGCATGGAAAAAAACTCTTAAGCAAAATAACAAAATGTGAAAAGTAGTTATAATTCCTATACACAAAGGCTAATCTTTTTAATATATAAAATATTCATAAATTGATAAGAATAAAGATCAGAAAGCTTAGCAAAGAATAAAAATAGTTCACAAATAAGAAATTACAAATGGTTTGTAAACATGAAAAAATGCACAACCTTACTTATAAGAAGAAGAATACAAATTAAAATTGCTCCAAATATACTTTTTTTAAAAACCTACATGGTTGGCAAACATCCAAAAGTTTAACTTTGTTGGTGAGGCTGAGAAAACACTCTTTCACATTTCTGTTGGGAACATAAATTGGCATAATTCCTAAGGAGGACACATTCATAATAATTACCCAAATTACCAGTCACTCTACATTTCTTCTTTTTCTTATTCTGATGTTACATGCAATTTTAATATATGCTATTATTTTAGCCTAAAAGTTATTAGTAGTCCGTTTTACGAATGGAAAAAAGCAACTACAGGGAAATACACTGTTAATAGCAAAGATTTGGAGGAAAAAGTGATAAAGATTCTAAAAAGGTCACCACCAACAAAAAAGCATAGCCCATAGAGGTGTTTATAAAAGGGTAAATAGCACTATACAACTCAAATATGTCTAACTATTCACATCAGTAGGTCACAGATATACATGATGGTCTGAGTCACCAAAACAGGTAAACTTTGTTCAAAGTATTTTATTTAAGAAGGTGAGAATTATGTAATGTAAAGTCCAGGAAGACTTTTGTACTAAATGGTTATTTAAAGTAAACGTTCAATTTTCCAGAAAGTTTAGCATATTCTTTGAAGGTCCTTAAAACTGATGCTTTACTGAATCATCTTAATTCTATCCCAACCCTCCTTACCATCGTATTGGGTAATATGGGACTGCAACCAACCATAAGAGAGTAACACTGAAGACTACTCGAGGAAAGTAGAAGTGTGGATGGAGGAACATGCTGACAGGGTGGAAGTGGGAAAAGGTTTTCCAGTTGGTACAGACGGTGCTGCTCACCATATATCGACTTTTTCAGAGACAGGCTCATTTCGTATCACTTCTGGTGCCATCCACGCGACTGTGCCAGCAAAGGACATCTTGGTACTTTTATCGCTGAGTTCCTTAGAGGTACCAAAATCTGAAATTTTTACTGCATCTGTGTGAGTCACTAAAACACTTTGAAAAGAAATAAGAGAACATCCATTAGTACTAATTAAAAACATGACTCAAATTGGCAACTGAAGACTTCGCTGCCCCCTACCTTGCAGAATTCAGCTTACCAGTTTCAATATTACTAGGACATTAGTGATACACTAGAAACAGCACCATTCATACTTGTGAGGCAGCATAGCATAGAGAGCTTTAAATATATATATATATATATATATATTTAAAGCTCTCTATGCTATGCTGCCTCACAAGTATGAATGGTGCTGTTTCTAGTGTATCTTACACACCCCACCTGGGGACCGAACCTACAACCCGGGCCTGTGCCCTGACTGAAATCGAACCGGTGACCTTCTGGTGCAAGGGATCATGCTCAACCAACTGAGCCACACTGGCCAGGGCCATAGTGGGCTTTTACATCTGGTTTTATCCTGCCTTCACCATTGTGTGAGCTTTGCCAATTTATGTAATTCTTCTACGCCATTTTTCTCATCTATGAGATGGAGACAATTCAGTTCACAATATCTTATCCACAATTTAAAAATGCAAAAAGATCTAAAAACAGTGTATAAATATTTTTTCATATGCATAAAGCAAATACACTTTATTTATCCCACTTTGTGTGCCTACCATAGGTTTCGCTACAGATATATGAATGTGGCTGATTATAGGGTGCTGCCCCAGTCTTTGCTGGGGATGTAAGGTAATGAATGCACTGTTCCTGAAATCATCTGACTCCCAGAGTTTTGGATAAGGAATACGGGCCTGTAATAATGCCTCATAGAAATTTTGTTTGAATTAAATGAGATAAGTAAAGCACACATGCTCAATAAATATTGGTTTCCACCCTGCCGGTCTCAGACAACCCACTAAGAAAACACTTCTTTCAAAACACTGTTGAAATGATGGCCAATTAAAATCATGCCTGGGACCATGATACTAGGAAGTTGTATCCTGGGATTCCACTAACAATGAGGAAAAGCAGGAATAAATCTAAGCTTAAGTAGATTCACACAACTCATGTTTTAGTTTTCATAATAGTTATCTGAAATGTGACCTGGGCAAACTGCTTTTGCCAGCTTTAAAGATGAATATAACCTGGGACTAATACAACATAGTAACATCCTCACGCACTAGACGGAGTTCACTTGAAACAGCCTGTTTAGAACTTAAGAATGTCAATGAGTTAGGGTTTCAGAGGCTTAATGATCTAGAGACCTATTTTTAACAATAAAAAGGCTTAATACTCCAACAGTATCAGAATCAAGGAGGTGAGAAAATAGGAAACTTCTCAGTCTATCTCCTCCCTTCTCTGCTTGAACCAGGGACTTCACATTTGCCCCGTCCCTGCCAATGTGAAATAGCTATTTACCAAATAGCTCAGTGCTTACAATTGCTTTAGAATACCTTCATCCACATCCATGCCCTGGTTTTTCACCTGCTATGTAAAAGTCACATAATTTAGGAATTTTGATTTAATGGTGCTAGTGTTGGTGGAAATGCATAAAGATGAAAGTATCATGGGCTATTTGCGATAATTGGAGAATTGATGGTATCATAAACCATGAGAGTCAGAAAAGGCGATAAACCCCTAGGGGAAAAAACACCAGAAACTTCCCTTTCTGCCTCTTATGTGTTGCTCATTATAGGACACTAGAGGTCTGGTGCATGAAATTCTTGCACAGGTAGGGTCCCTAGGCCTGGCTGGCAATGAGGGCGGATCTGTGGGGTGACCAGCTAAGTAACTGCCCCGCCAGTTGGGGCCTGCGAGCTGGGGGCAGTTCCTGCATTGAGCGTCTGCCCCCTGGTGGTCAGTGCATGTCATAGCGACTGGTTGTTGGTCGATTTGCATATTAAGGTTTTATATAGATAGATGACGAGAGGGAATGGACATGGGAGGGGACAAGAGAAGATATAATTTTGAAACTTTTGTGAAATCTCTGAGACAAAGGTCATACAGCCTAAAGACTTAATGTGGGTAACAAAATCTCTCTTTACAGCAAGCCAGACTGATCTTTGTTTTTTCAAAATTGTCTTGGAACCCAAAGAGGCCAAGGCTGCAGGGGTTCAGGGTAGTACTGATAACAGAGGGAATGCTTACTGGGTAACCAACTTACTCTAATCTTTAAGTGACAGCAGTTAAAGAGAGCAGTGTGTGATTGTTATGTATTCTACATATTCCTGACTTCCTTTTCTACAATTAATTCTCAAGGAGAACAAGGTGATTCAAAAGGAGACCATTCAAAGAGGCCTTTGGCAAGTATTTTATGTTTATGTAATGGGTGACAAAAGCATCCATATAGACAGAAGAAATGAACACTATATAATAAAGTTATTTGCAAGTAAATTAAGAAGAAGGTTGTTCAGTGAGCTAACAATGGTAATAAACATTATTGAGAACTGTGGTGATAAATGTGGCCGGTCTTTGAAGTTTATAATCAAGACTGATTTATATCTTCCATGGAGAAGAGGCAGGATTCCTTGTGAATCCCTCACCTTCACACGATGACTTAGGAAGCAGTGGTCTTTGGTCGAAAAGTTCTGGGTTCAAGTCCTAGCTCCATGACTTCGGGCTCTGAGCCCTAGTTTCTCTTATATAAAATAAAAATAATGATACTTGTCACATCTATCCCACACAGTTTTTGCCAAGATCAAAGCAGATGTGATCATGGATATAAAAATATGTTGTAAACCATAAAAGCACATGCAAAAAAGATTAATCCTTTTCTGCTTCTCCAAACCAAAATGTGATGAGAAGTGATAAAAATGTTTAAAAATAGGAGCAACACTGAAATATACCATTTTATCAATTCTTTTATGCAATTTGAGGAACTGATAAACACTCCTCTTAAAGTGGTTATTAGTAGCCAAGGAATCGTTTTGAAAACAGAGGTTACTAGAAACAGCTTTGCTTCTCTTAAATAATCAGTTTGTATTTTTCTTATGGACACTGTGAACCTTATAACTATTTCTTTCTTTCTTTGCTTAGACTTTAGGAAACTCAGCACCAAATATGGAGTCCACCTCTACACCACAGCGGTAGAGAATCCTATGGTATACATTTTGTGAACAAGCTTTAGTTCTAACATTTTTATTTACTCTTTGCCTCTGTTTCTTATTCATTCACTTTCACCTGACTATATTAAGTGCATTTCTGAAACTCACTTTTAAAAAGTGTTTTTCTGGAAACACACAGGAAAACAGCAAGTCAAGCCTCCAAGTGAGGAAGTTTGGCATTAATTATTCAAAATGATGAATTATTCAGATAATGAATTGTTTCATAATTATACAATTATAATGCAACAAAAAGGGAAAACTAGTGTCAGGTGCCTGAACATATCTGCCATCTACATAGGTCAGTAGGTCAATAATAATCCAAAAGATACACAAATAGCATTGCCCACTGTGCTGACGTAAGCTGAACCAAAAGTGTCAAGTCTGAAAACTTCAACTAAGGTTGATGGAATTCCTTATTTCAAAGCAATAAAACAAAATGGCTGAAAAATTAGCTCCAGTACTCACTTAGGTGATTTGAGATCACGATGAATAATTTTGTGAAGGTGCAAATAATTCATTCCACTTGCGATTCCTGTGGACCAGTCTACTAGCAATCGAGGCGTGATCTTCCTGCCCGCTCGCAAAACCTCGTAGAGTTGTCCATGGGCACAGTATTCCATGATGATACAATAACATGGGGCCTGAGTACAAACACCCCTTTCAAGAAAACACAAGCATGGATATAATACACACATAGAAACAAACATACATGCATACTTATTTATATCTTAGGAGCATTTCATAAATTTAATCACTAAGGCCAATTCTCTATCCAAATTATTTTTTACATGCATATAGATAATCATTCCTGATTCTTAAATTAGCATTAAAATCCTTTAGTCTACAGATTTTCTCTACTATGCATAGCGACAATTTTAGTTTTGTTTTGTTCACTCTGGGTATCTACATGCTATGCTATATCTGGTGCTTTTTCTGTGGGGACATTCCATTCTGGGTCAAAGAGCACCCTTTCCTGAGGCTTTGTGTGGGCTAGATATTGTATTGTTCTGATTAAGAATAATTTAAATAGCTTCCTTTTAGAATTACATAGAGGGTTTTATACATAGTGTGCAGAAATATAATTCGAATAAAATATTGCTATTTTTGCTATTATTTTGTTGAATTTTAAGTTACTCAAATCTAAGACTAGCTAGATTGAGGATCAGAAAAAAAGAATCAATTTTCTTTTAAAAAATATGTTTTTATTGATTTCAGAGAGACTAAGGGAGAGGGAGAAAGGATAGAAACATCGATGAGAGAGAATCATTGGTTGGCTGCCTCCTGCACACCCCCTACTGGGGATCAAGCCAGAAACCTGGGCATGTACCCTGCCTGGGAATTGAACTGTGATCTCCTGGTTCATGGGTCGACACTCAACCACTGAGCAACACAGCTGGGCTCAATTTTCTATTTTATATGTCTCTAGTGATGTGTATACCTGAAACTAATATAATATTGTATGTCAACGGTAATTAAAATATAAAGAATGATTTAAATAAATTTAAAAAGAAGTTAAAAAAAACTTTTAAAAATTTCAATATTAGTCTTTGAAAAACATTTCTGTTTAGAATAAAAATAGCACTACACAATGTGTTATATATCCATGCAGCCTGTATTTCCATCAATTCTTACATCTCTTATGAAGCCTTTCCTGATCATTCCAGCCCAAAGATCTTTCTCTTCTCTCAATTCCAATGCTACATAGCAGCCATTAGTTTTCAGATACGATCTGATATAGATTACAGGCTCACTGAAGGAAAAGGTTTTCAAGTTCTCATCTGTCTACCACAAGGCCTAGACATTCACAGCAAGGTCTTGAGAGATAGTTCTTCACTTTACCTTAACTTTCTTTGATGATCAAACCTTCACACAAACACATGCAGAGGCCTGGGGTAGGAGGAAGGGCACTAACATGAAAGAACATCTTCTATTTGTCAGGTGTGTTTACATGTTTATTTAATTGTTTTATTTAGTCTGCTCCAAACCACTGTAAGGTAGATATTACCTTTTCCATTTTTTATAGGTAATGTTCAGAGAGGGACAGTGACTTGTCTTAGATCAGACAACTAACGAGTGACAGTGGGATTCAAATCTGCCTGTTTAACTTCAATGCCATGCTCTTTCCACTCGTACACCACACTGCCTCTGTTATCCTCCTTAACTGCAGGATGGACAAGAATATTGGGGATTCTTATATTAATATTGTTAACTTATAGAAGTGGGAATAATCAGATTAATTCTAATTCACAGTTTGGTTCTGAGGATGAGAAAAGAGGAAAAAAAAATCACCGCCTGCAATTCTCTGTGTTCCATCCTTAAGAATTATGTATGTATGTATGCCTTCCTTTAAAACTTTCCAGAGTAGTTATTGAGAGCAGTCTACCTACAAGGCACCCAGCTAAAATCCTTAGCCAGCTCTCAATTCATGTCCTATTTCTTAGGCTGCTATAAGTGATGAAGGACACTAGAGGCCATGATGGGTCCGACTGGCATGGCTCAGTGATTGAGTGTCAACCTATGAACCAGGAGGTCACAGTCAATTCCAGGTCAGGGCACATGCCTGGATTAAGGGCTTGATTCCCATTGTGGGGTGTGCAAGAAGCAGCCAATCAATGCTTTTATCTCATCATTGATGTTTCTATCTCGCTCCCTCTTCCTTCCTCTCTGAAATCAATAAAAATATATAGTAAAAATAGAGGCCATGATGGCTTGTAATCATGTGAAAGTCTTACAACAATAACAGGTTATAAAGAAATTAAAGAAGTAGTCTTCATTTTCCCTGCTTTGCTGTGCCTGTCAAATGCCACAAAGCTATTTCTATTACTCCCCAGCATTTTCTAAGCTACCCAAAATTTTCATCTTGATTTTCAGTGGAAACATTTTTTTCAAGTTTTTGTTACTTGACTTGTAGGAAACCTCAGTGGAGCAGGAATGTACGGCACCTACAAACAGACTTTAATTTTCATCACAGAGAAATAATAAGTAAGGCAGGAATAATGTAATATGCTTGAGGATATCAAAATACATATTTGTTTGAAGCTATTCAGTATCCTGTTCAACTATGTTTTAACTTGTCACAAATGTAGACAGAAAGGGCCTAACGGTGATATGTATGCGTTTTTCATCTTTCCCGACTGACGAATGAGAAGCAATCATTCCATCAGCCCTATACTATGACAAGGCCCTTACTAGCTATAAATAACAGCTCTATAATCACTTCTAATTGCTACCTTTTCTTCCCCATTGGCACTCAATTCCATTAGGAACAGTCAGACTGGGTTTTCTTAAAAGACCGCTTTAAGAAATTGGAAGGAAAAACAATACAGTATTCTTTCCTTGCTCTTTCCCTTCTGTACATGGTTCTTATTTCAAAAGAAGCTGTAAGCACAGAAATCAGTATCCAGAGAGACGTACTAAAATCTAATATTGCCTTCATGTCTTCCAGATGGTCCTGAATGATTCATTGGCCAAGCAACACATGGCACAGATAGCTGCAAACATAACACTGCACAATGCCTCAAGAGCATGGTGTAATGGGCCAGGGACACAGTCTCACTATTGTTTCCATGTAGAGGTAAAGACTATTCAGGCATCTTCAGCCTAAAGAGTTGGGGACCAGCATGGCAATATTTGTCCAAAATGCTGAAAAGTGCATATGCAGGTGGGCGGGTCAGAGAGTGAGGTGGGAGGAAAGACTGAGAAGAAAAAGGAATAAAGCTTCTCATACCCATCCTCTTAGGACACACATGCTACGTGGAAAGCCCTCTTACCTGGAAGATACAGCCTATTTCATTTCAGGAGGCCAAAAGGCTTGCTGATCTCTGTCTCAAACCTAAGCTTCAAGGTTTAGTTAAATGGAAGCTCTACCTTCCATTTATTTATTTATTTTTTTTAAAATTTTATTTTATTGTTTAAAGTATTACAAATAGTAGTACATATGTCTCCTTTTTTTCCCCCGTTGATCTTCCCCTGGCCTCCCCTTCTACCTTCCATTTAGAATGATGTAGCATAGTGGGAGTGAAGATCCTCTCAGTGAAGTAAAATGAAAGAAAGAAGTGAGTTTCTGGTAGCCTGCTTAAAAATAATTCTCTTGCCCTGGCCAGTGTTCTCAGTGGTTAGAGCATCGGTCTGCAGACCGAAGGGTTGAGGGTTCATTTCCCAGTGAGGGGCATGAACCTCAATTGCAGGTTCTATCCCCGGCCCTGGGCTCGTGCAGAGGCAACCAGTCAATGTGTCTCTCTCACATTGATGTTTCTCTCTGTCTCTCTCTCTCTCTCTCTCTCTCTCTCTCTTTCTCTTAATGTTTCTCTCTCTCTCTCTCTCTCTCTCTCTCTCTCTCTCTCTCTCTCTGCATCCTTCCCTCCCTTCTCGCCCCTTCCATTCTCTCTCTGAAGATCAATGAAAAAAATATCCTCGGGTGAGGATTAAAAAAATAAAATCCTCTTATTGTCTTTTGAAATGATCATCTTTGGGAAGATTAGAATTGGTTTCTAGAACATTTTGTTTTAGTCTCACATGCAACTAGGAGAGAGAAGGGGGAGAGAGAAACATCGATGTGGGAGAGACAAGACACATGGATTGGTTGCCACCTGCATGTGCCCCAACCCACACTTGTCCTGACTGGGCTGGGGATTGAACCCCAACCCAGGTACATGCCCTTGACTGGGAATCGAACCTGTGACCCTTTGGTGTGCAGGCCAATGCTCTAACCACTGAGCAATGTTGGCCAGGGCAATGCTTCTCTTCTTTTTACACCCATTTCTGTTTCCATAAGGGGTCTTGAATCAAAACAGCCTTAATACTAGTTTAAACTCATTGTATAAAACCTATACCTAAGATTTCTATTTCTTACTTTGGGGATGTGGGTCCAACAAAAAATTACCACATCACATGTTTAGCTTTATAATGAGAATTTTGTCAAGAGAGGCTCCTTCTTGGAGGCTGGGAGGAGTTCCTTCTAGTTTAGGGAAGGGGGATTTGTAAGTTATTCCACTTTTAACTGTAGTCTCATTGGTCGTATAATTTTCATATATACATATAAAGAATTCTACTTTCTATACTTTCAGCTCACCTAAAAGCTACCTTTCCTATTCTTCACCTTGCCTACTCTAAAGCCACTCACCATTCATTTGTTCAAACCTAAGGCAAACTTTGAAGGCTGGTAAGAGATGGAACTCAAGGCAGAAGAAATTGCACATATTTAGAACTCAGCACTGCTAAAGTTGGTGATTTCCACAAATTTGCCTTTGGGTCTCCCCCTTTTGCTAGGGATCTCTGCCAATATTCTGAAAATAATGGTCTAAACTATAAAGATCTGGAAAACAACTACTTTGTCAAATGAAAATAGTACATACTTGCTATCACCAATAACTCTGTATCATTACATTTAGAAAGCTGAGTATTTGGCATTCCTTAAAAAGCCACCTAGCAAGCAATGAGGCGGGGAGAAATACTCTGAAGGTATCTGTTATTACAAGTTAATATTTAATAAGAGATGCTAATAGAAACTAATAAAAAGCATATCTATTACACAGGGACTAATTGTTCTCTGGTTACTTAGATGTTAGCTTTGTTTTCTTAACTGAATTTTAGGATGTCCAGGTTATCTGTCATCCTATCGATAAATGAGGTTGATGAGCAGATCTGACTGCTTGGCAAGAATCCACTTTCTCTCTCTCTGCCCCATCTGCATCCCGTCCAAGGAGGGCATCCTCTGGCAAAAAGAACTTCTATATTATAAACTCCTTAAAGACATGACTCTAATTTAATAGTTATTTGATATCCTACCAAAGCACCTAGCACAGTGCTCAGTCTATAGCAGTGATGGCAAACCTATGACATGCGTGTCAGAGGTGACACGTGAACTCATATTTTTGGTTGATTTTTCTTTGTTAAATGGCATTTAAATATATAAAATAAATATCAAAAATATAAGTCTTTGTTTTACTATGGTTGCAAATATCAAAAATTTTTTATATGTGACACGGCACCAGAGTTAAGTTAGGGTTTTTCAAAATGCTGACACGCTGAGCTCAAAAGGTTCTCCATCACTGGTCTATAGCATGGTCTTAACATGTCTTTCAAAGCAGGAATTTATATGTATATATTGGGGGAAAGAAAATTTATTTCTTAAAAAAAAAGAAAAAGCCTTGACCTACTTGAAAGCGATGATGTTAGGATGCTTCAACTTCCTCAAATGCTTGATATCCGTCTCATTCTGTTCTCTCACTTTCTTGATGGCCACCTCCTCTGCTCGGAACTTGCCCAGAAAAACAGCTCCTTGGGCTCCGCTACCCAGCCACTGCAGCTCTGAGATCTCCTCAAATGGCACTTCCCAAGTATCTAGGCACACAAACGAGGAACAAGCTTAAAAAGATCTTGGAATTTGCTTAGGGACTATTCTACAAGGCCACTCCAAAGGTATCAACTTTACCATGCCCCAAAATGACTCTACACTTTGTCTCCCACCTGGTAACTCACCAAAAGTTAGAACCTTTCTATGTGCCTTGAGACTATAGATTAGATATTCCCATGAGTTAGTCTGTATCAATTTTTAACCAGTGAAATCAAGCAGATCAGAGATCTCCAGTATACTCTCCTCCAAACAAAACATACAGGGTGTCCCAAAAAATGTATACACACACTTTGAATAATTATAAAGGCAGTGTTTATTAAAATACATTTCATTTTCAAAATTGAGCTATCAGCTGTTAAAGTGTGTATACAATTTTTGGGCACACCCTGCATACTGACACTGCCTTCTCTGCGCTTCAAGCTTGCATGTTCAGTCGATTCCCCTGTCTCTACACCACTATCCCTACCCCATCACCCATTATAAGTGTTGTTTTATTCCTCTTCGAATTTCTAGTCAGGTGCTCAATTAATCCTTGCTGAATGAATTTTCAATGAATCTCACCTAAGAATCTAATTATGCATAATACCTGTATTAGTATTTACCTTTTATTTAGTAGTTACTATATGCCAGACACTAGCATACTGTTTTACATGTCTCATGTGTTTAATCCTTACAACAATCCTACAAGTTCAGCCTTATTATGGTTATTTAAAGATGAGAAAACTCTTTAGGGGTAGGGATGGTAAGTGGCAGAACTGGGCCTAGAACTCTAGAATTGGCTAATTCCAGGGACAGTGCTTCTCTACTATACCATATTGCCTCTCATGCAGTAACTAAGAGTGTCATTAGTCATGATATCTCTCTGTATAAAAGCCTAAGCGACCAAACAACCAAATGACCAGTTGACCGGTCACTATGGTGTGCACTGACCACCAGGGGGCAGCCGTTCAATGCAGGAGCTGCCCCCTGGTGGTCAGTGCACTCCCACAGCAGGAGCGCCACTCAGCTGACCAATAGGCACCAGAGGCAGGGCCCACGGTTGGTTAGCGCTGCTGCAGCAGCGTGAGCCTCTCCCGATCAGAACTGACTGGGTGCGAGCCCACAGCAGGTGCAGCAGGGCTGGGATGAGCGGGAGCAGCAGGCAGGAGCAGCAGGTGGTGTTGGACTGCCAGTTTCTGCCAGATCCTTGCAGGCTATGCTGAGGGACCCCACCAGTGCACAAATCCGTGCACCGGGCCTCTAGTATTTCCTCATATAGATATTTATTCTTGTAGTTCTCATATTTTCATGTTTCTCTCTTTTTTAGAGTTTTATTTTTATTTTTGGTACCAAAAATTGTACCAGGGGTTATTTCTAAGTGGTGGTATTATTAGTGATTCATATGGTTCTTTATCCTTTTCTGCATTAAACATGTTTAACTGTAAGTGTATATTACTTTTATAATGAATTAAATGCTATTTGAGATAAAGCACTTCAAAAACCCTATCAATATGTGCTTTAATCTTGTGAAACTTAAAAGGAAGAATGTAATCCATTGATCCTTCTCCTCATCCCCCTTTTGCCAGTGCGTCATCACTGCACTGGTAAGAAATGAACATCAAAGAGCCAGGAGCCCTAGGAGTGAGGGGAGGATGATGACAACGTTAAAGGTTATGAGAAATTCTTGTTGGATCACTGATCACTAAAAGGCTGCTATTTAGAGAACACTGAACAAGGTAGTGTTGAGGTGGCTTTGAAGATATTCTGGTCTTGAAAGCAAATCAACTTACCATTTGCCATGTGAAGCAAGAGCAGAAAGAGTTCATCAGTATCCAGAAAGGAACTACATTTCCCTCGTCTCTAATTTTCTCCACTTTAGGAGAAAAGAAATTCTGTAGGCTCTTAATAAAATGTGGCTTCTCATCACAATGGTTAAAACATGACCTTCAAAATGTAACTACGTAGAGCAGAAAATATTACAGTGAGGGTGGTTTATATCATGGGTATCCGTCCCATTCTGCTGATATCAGCAGTATTAAAGGTTTCTATGCTATGGAAAGGGACTATATGCTCTATCAAAGCAAATCTCTAAAATACAAATAACTCACAAATAAGAAATCACCTAAGGAACAAATAATATCAAATGCGATTAGGGAGAAAGCAGTAAGTTATAGACTTGACTGCTTTCAATATCTTTATGGCTTCTAATGACTGGTAAGTATTAAGTGGCTCGAGCAGTCTCACTTTCGTCCCCATGGGCTTATTCGTGCAGCACACACAGGCGCAGATATTGATGCATACTCTAAGACAGTTTTACTATCAGGGTCAGTGAAGAACTAAACACAGTGTCATTGTGACCATCCTGAGGATGGAATAAGGTATGATTACAAGATATGGGGCAAGAGCATAATTGGATAATATTTCTCTGAATAACTTTATAAAAGCCCAAGTTACCCTAATTTTTAATACAATAGCTATTAAAATTGGACAATCTTTGGGTGTTTTTTTTTCCTATCTACTCAATCTTTATTTACTATTAAATACTAGAAACATTAGAAAATACCAGAAAAACCCCTATTTTATCTGATATCCCACCCCATACTCAGTTTTCATCTTCTCTTTTAGTCTTTGTTCACATGTATACAGCTATGTAAAAGTTGTATATATGTATAATTTTTTTTCATGTATTATGTATTCCCCATGTACTTATATAATTTTTATTTTAAGCTTTACTAGTTGTTTACTGTATCCTCATCTTTTTTTTTTTTTTTTGGTACTTAAATATTTCCATCTTTTTGTTTGCTAATTTAAATTTGAAATTAAAACACTTTTTTCTTTCTTCATATTTACTTCCTCAAACTCAATTCTTAGATTAAAGAGCACAGTTTCTTGGCTCTTGGTATACATTCCAAATTGCTACCCAAAAGGATTTAGCTCATTTTTGCTGACAGCAGCAATGTATGTTCCTTTTATAACAACTTTGCCAGCCACGAATATTGCCAATTATTTTTTGGTGCTAACTTAATTAGGTATAAAATACTATTTTATGTTTGTACTACTTTAATTGTCAGCAATGTGGAATATTTCATTTACATTTGCTTACTATGCACATCTATTTTGTAGGAATTATCAAATTTATCCTTTGTCTATTTATCTAGTAGGGTCTTGTAGTTCTCATAAATTTGAAAGAACTTCCTCTCTATTTCTTTGAAAACATGAAGAGAATATATGTATATATTTTTTTACAAAAGCCTTTTCCTTTTAATTTTATTATTTTTTGAACAACATATTTTTGTGGTTGCCTGAAATTTTCCTTGTAATGTCTTCTACTGGCTATTCTATCCTCTAAGAGTTGATCTATAGTTGATTTTTAAAAACTTTAACCTTTACATCCATCTGGAGTTTATTTAGGTGTATGATGGGAGGACTGGTTTAAATTAAATTTTTTCCATATTGTTATTTAGGAATTCTAAAACAATATCTTAAGTAACTCTTTCTTTTTATATCATTTTATAATGCTTACATTGTAATTTATTATATTTTAAAGAAATAATGCCTATTATTAATTATTTTTTCTTTTCTTTTAAAAAAAATCCTCACACAAGGATGTTTTTATTGATTTTAGAGACAGAGGAGGGGGGGGGAGAGAGAAGGATGGAGAGAGAGAGAGGGAGAGAGAGAGAGAGAGAGAGAGAGAGAAACATCGATGTGAGAAACATCTATCAGTTGCCTCCCATATGTGCCCCAAGTGAAGATCAAACTCACAACTAGGTATGTGTCCTGACCAGGAATTGAATGGTGCAACTGTTTTGGTGTATGGGATGACACTCAGCCAACTGAGCCACCCGGCCAGGGTGTATTATTAAGTATTTTTATAAAATGAGAAATAAATAAATTGGCACTCAAATACCAAAAGTTGAGGATATTATAATAAGGACTAAAGTATTCCTTTACCTACAATAGCTCATGCCTATGTTATTCAGCCAAGTGTCAATTAATACAGAAAAATAAAGGAGATAGCATTGGTATTCAAGAACACAGAGTGCAAAATAAAATAGTATTTCAACTACCTTTGCATCCATCTTTTTACTAGAACTGATTACCAAAAGTAAAATGATGGATGTGATTTAGTCTTCTTGTCCTGTCCCAAAGTCCCTGTCAATATCTAGTAAGGAGGCAAGGGACAGAAGAATGGCAGGAAAAAAACAAACAGCAATAAGAATGTGAAAAATTGGGGGCCTAGATCATTGATGAACGAGATCGCTATCCTCATAATAATGGAAATTGGTTGTGCTCCCTCCAGGGTTAGCCCCAGACTTTCTGCTGCTTTTACATCTGTCCCTGGTACTCTTCCCAGCTTTCCTCTTCTCTCTGATTCATCACTATGACTACTATCTTAGTTCCAATATCCACCAGGATTCTTAAGACTGAGAAAAAGCCACATGCTCACCCACTTTAATGCATAAATTCTCCTTTGTTTACTCAGACATGCCTATGACAATACTTGCTTTGAGACTGGGAATTATTTGGAAATAAAAGATTTCAATTACACATAGTGCTACCTTACTTGGACTTTACTACCAACAAACTAAACAGCAGATGAGGACATCATTAAAATTTTTTAAAAATCTAGTGAAATTTCCTCATAAGTACCAACCGCAGGGACACATCTGTTACACGAGCTGTCCCTTGGTTGACTGTAATCCAGGATTAAAGATAATCTCCCTGATCCCAGGCTGACAAGGAAGAAACGCTTAGTTTCTGGCCAGCAAATCTCTCACAGCCCACGGCAACACCAGCCCACAACAGGATATCTTATCATCTGCTGAAGAGTTAGGCAGCTGCTGTGTCCTTGTGAGCTTAAACTGACCAGGCCTGTTTCTTACTTATTCCTGCAATAATCCTTTCTGAAAGTCACATAATCAATTGGAAGACAAATTAAATACAAGTTTATAGAACAATAAAAAAATTTAAAGGCTCCTTTTCACAAACACAGAATGTGTCTTTTATACCTTTTATATGTCTAAACCTCACTGCTCCATTTGGGTCCTGAGACCTTCAACTTACCACCAAAATAATTATGAGACTGGACAAGTTAAGACCCTAAAAACCAAATAGAGTTTATAGCATAAGCAGATATTTGTAGGTTTTGTGTCTATTCAAAGAGGGAACTTTAAAAAAAATAATAACTTAAGGGTTGTTATCTCTAGATTGTGGGATGACAGGTCATTTTTATTTTCCTCTTTGTGCTTATCTTTATTACCAATTTAAAAAAAAAAAAAGACTGTTTAACATAGGAGTTCCCAGCTTTTGTGTGACAAGGAATGCTTTTTTAATTTCCTTGAAAACTTAAGATCATGGTGGGGGGTGGAATGTGCAGAGTATGGGAATATGTATGAAAAAGAGAGAGACACAGACAGACACAAAGACAAACAGACAAAATCCAGGTACCTACAAAGAATTTCTGCATGGAGCTCGAATGGAGGCTGACAAACCCTGAAAAGTACACCTGGAATTGACAGATCTACCAGTAGATTTCAATATATTTATGGGGAGGAAGTATAGAGGGAGAGGTTGGTGTGGTTTAGGAAGAGTATTTCACAAATAGGAGAAACAGAATGCATGAGAAAAGTGGTTAATGGCGACTGATGTCGACTGGCTGTTGTGGAAAAGCTGTCAACAGTCCTGATAAAAGAGAAGAATATATTTTTAAGGGAGGGCCACAGAGTCCAATATTCATTATAAAAGAAATAAAACAGAATCTTATTTCTGGTCCATATTTTTCCCTTCTAAAATTTTAAATGAGAGATCTCATAACAACTGAATCTTTTACACAAGGCTACAAAGATATGTATCAAAGGCCTTAAAAGCAACAAACCCTTTGAACCCAACCATTCCTCTTCTAGGAATTTATCCTAAGGAGTAATCAAAGATATGTGCAAAAATTAAGAAATAGACAAATGTTCATTGCAGTGTGACTTACAGTCACCAAAAATAGCAAACGAATTGCCAAGTAATAGAGGGTTGCTTAAATAAATATTGGCATGTTCACATGATTTAATATTATGCAGCCACTAAAAATGATGTTGACAAAGTATATTTGATGATATGGAAAAAGTTCACATTATGAAGTGAAAAACAGTATGATTCTATTTGCTTTTAAGGCACACATACACACACAAAAGGACTAACGTAATATATACCAAAAACATTAATGGTGGTTATTCTCAGGATACTGGGGTCACAGATTATTTTAACTTTTTTTTGGGGGGGGGGAAGTGAGGGGGTAACCTGTATGTCCCAAATTTTCTACATATATTTTGCTATCAGAAATAAAATGTTCTTTTAAAGAACATAAGTGAAGTTATAAAGAACACTAGGGCCATGTGTTCTCTTTACCTCAGAACCATCATGCTGGAATTAGAATACATGAATATACATGCTACACAGTGATGGGAGTTAAAATTTTACCTTTTAAAAAGCAGGGGGATCTAGAAATAATGATGCATCTCAAGAATGGTTAGATATTTTATCTTTCCTCAAACTGTGGGCTTCCTGTACCTTGACTGAAAGAAATAAATTCCTTTTATGACACCCTCAGGCAGGCTTGCAATCAGCAGGGGCAGTACCATGTGGCTTCCATCTGGTTTGGGATCAGTCCAGTGGCCATCAGACTTTTTGACTGTATAAACTTTCAATAAAAAATTTTAAATATGCAAATATTATGTGATTTATTTATAAATTAGATATCCGCACTTTATTAAAATACCAAAACTATATAAAAACACACGTGAAAATAGAAAGTTAAAATGAGATGAAAGGAACAGAAACTCTAACATTTTCTTCCTTATAACACCATGATTGTCTTATCTGTAATCTACTTTGGACACCATTGGATTGGACAACCACAAAAGATGGGCTTCGACCAAAAAAATCCACCCGAATGTGAATCTGTTCCATTCAGGAGGTCTATGGGAAACTGATATGGGTATTCACTAGGCACTAGTTCTTTAATTTACCCACAGGCCAAAGGTTATGCAGTTAATGATGATGGTGTCTTTACACAAGAAATACCTCCCAGGTCTATATGATAGCTTACCTTGCTGCTGTAATTTGTAATCAGTGGAATACGCCTTCCCAATGATATTCCATACAGGCCTTAAGCATCCAAACAGTCCTTCAAGAAATCCACCACTGCCACCGCCTGACCTGCTGAACTGAATCTTGATGTCTTCTGTTCCACTCATGCTCTCTCCATCTACAGTGTTGCTGTTCCCCTGAGACACGGCCATTTCCGATTCATCTTGTTCCCTTAGCTGAAGAACGCTGTTCTCAAACTGGTCCCTGGAATCCTCGCTCACACTTGTCAACACTGTTGTGGTGATGGGGCTGTGCATGCCCTCCGTTAGCTCGGTTTGCACCACCCCCTTGTCCTGCTGGTCCTTAAGGAGCTTGGGTGAAGGGTGGCTCCCCATGGGCGGGAGTTCATCTTGCAGTCCATTGAAGGTTTTGTTTTCACTCAAGGGTAAGTGTGGGGAGGAGGAGCAGCTCAGGTGCTCCTGAGGGTCGGCCATCGTGCCATGAGTGTGCCCGAGGCCCTGAGATGACACTCAGAGGATTATCTGAATAGAGTTCTGATGTAAGGGAGGGCTCCAAAACCTGGGGGAACAGGAGGAGGACATGAGATCACCCTTTCTTCAGTCATCCGCACTACACTTCTGTTTATAATAATAAAAACACTGAAACAATGAGGTTAGTTAAACAGTGGTGCATATCCACATGATGGAATATTGTGCAGCAATTAAAAATCATGCTGAAGAAGAGCATTGACTCACATGAGAAAATTCATGACATTTATACTAATAAAAGGGTAATATGCTAATTAGACCAGATTGACCGGACATCTTCTGGATGTCCAACTTCCTTCCGGACAAAGCCACGGTGGCGGGGGCTGAGGCAGAGATGCTTAGGGGCCATCAAGTCAGCAGGGGAGCAAGCAGTTAGGGGGCAATCAGGCCGGCAGGGGAGGGCAGTTGGGGCAATCAGGCAGGCAGGCAGAGGCGGTTAGGGGAGATCAGGCAGGCAGGCAGGCGAGTGGTTAGGAGCCAGGGACACCCCCCCACCCCTATGCACGAATTTTGTGCACTGGGCCTCTAGTATTAGTATAAAAACACATTAGAAAAATATATTCAACATAAACTGTTTTTAAATGTATTTAAAAGGATACATAAACACATATACAAGAAAAAAGACTGAAAGGATATATCCAAAGAATTAACAATAGTTAATTCCAGGTGGTTAGATTGAGGGGGTGGTGGTTGTTATATTGTCATGTTTTTTGACATATTCCAAGCATTTTGCATTAATACAGGATGTTGCTATAGACCCAATGTTTGTGTCCCTCCCAAATTCATATGTTGAAACCCAATCCCCATTGTGTTGATGTATGGTGGTGGGGTCATGAGGGCAAAGTCCTCAGGAATGGGATTAGTGGCCTTATAAAAGAGACCCTGAAGAGTATCCCCTGTCTTTTCTGCCCTGTGAGGATACAGTGAGGAGATGGTTGTCTATGAACCAGGATACAGGCAATGAAGATGAGGGGGTAGATTTAAGAGGCAGAGTTAGTAAGATCAAGTGATTAATTAAACATAGGGGTGGGTAAGGAAAAGGGAGAGGAATAACTTTCAGATAACTTACATGGGTAATGGATAGATGGGCATGTCATTAACTGAGATATGAAACACTAAAAGAAAAGGAGATTTAGAAAGAAGATAATTAGCTCAGTTATAGACATAGAGGTTTTAAGGCCTATTGTGTATGTCGTGCACTGAACCAGGCTTTTATTTTTGTTATCTGATTTTAAAAACACACTTTGTAGGAAAGGATTTGAAGAGAGGTAAAGATGGGTGCTCCTTTAGCTCAGGGGCAGAAGTATCAAAATAATACAAGGGTGAACCAAAGTTAAGTTAAAGGTGTACTTATTAAATATGTGTTAAGAGCTGTGTTGTAATGGGCTAGGTTCTGCGGATACAGAACATTACTTGTTGCCATTACTACTTTTAATGCTGATTAAGACAAAGAGCTTTATAGTTTATAGAGCCCTGTTTACATAATTTAGCCATGTGCTGGTAAACCAGTTCTCCAGGGGGGGAAAAAAACCAATAACCCAATTTGTAGGGTGTGTAATTTCCCTGGGATAAATACTTCCATCATGGCAGATTTTAATCTAATAACACTTTAACAACCTGCTTGCAAAGTTACTCAATATTGGACAACTGGCTCTTACAAATTGATGTATAAGCCATCTCCAGCACTAATAGTCCTGGTAAGAGTGTCTTGTCATTTTACAGAGAAGTAAGAAACTTTTCTAAGGTCATATGTGGAGTAAGAGGTAGAGCAGGAATTAAAATCTAACTCAAAATTCAGATTCCTAAATCCCCTTGCCTTTTTAATAACACGATGGCCCTTACTTTCTTAAGAGTGCTCCATGGTTAAAAAATACTGTTGTCTCTGATCTTGATCTAAATGTTTGTCCCCTGTGTAAGGAAGAGAAAACGTGGGATCATTGTCCCTGTTTTTCAAAGAAGGACACTAAGGCCTAGAGACAGGTATGTGCTAAAGGTTACAGAGCAGGATTGAATACCAGGTTAATTTTCCTTATCCCCAAACTCTCTCCTGTACCATAACAGTCTCTGTAAGATGTAAGACACAGTTCCTTCCTTTCAGAGCTAGCAAACTAGTCAAGGAGTTAATAATTACATCAAGGGAATCACCTCCTGACTGTTCCCCACCCAATGATAAATGAGCTGTGAGAAGAAAAACAATAATGGGGGTAGGAGTAGTGAACTTGGGCTGAAGGAGAGAGGTAGGACTTGAGATGAACCTTTGAAAGGAAGATGTGTTTAGAACAGACAGAAGAAAGGAAGGCAGGGAGGAAGAAAAGACCAGGGTATGGAAGGGGTTGATAACTTAAATTTTAGGGCATAGAGACATTTTAGGGCTGGGCAACTGCCTGGGAATATAAGGTTGGGGGAAAAAGAGAAAGACAAAGAAAAGCTGGATTTATGTGTTATAGCAATAGCTGTTGGCTGAATGGACCCCCATTCCCCTCACCCCATCCTCCCTACTTTGTTCCCTCTGTGCTCATCTCTACGTTTTGACATTACCGATTCCCTCATTTTGCGTTCTTGCTAATCTCCTGCTACAACCTTGGCTGTCTCTTGCTTTCGGTCTCTCCAACCTTGTTCTGCCTGATCTCTTTGAAGACTGCTGACTTCAGATTCTTTGACCTGGCCACTGCCTCAGCCGTTCCTTCCAGTCTGCCTTTGCCGTTGGGACTTGTGGTTATCTTACACAGCACAGGGTGTCCGTTATGCTATTGGCTCCCATTAGCCTTGAGGACAATGCATACTGTATATGTGATTTTCAGCCAAACACCTATTTGTGCAATTTGTTCTTTGAATCAAACTATGGGACTTTATATTGATTCTTAGTAAATTTCTATTCTGTTGATTTTTATCCTAAGTTTCTCCCTGATGACATCATATTGGAATGAGCTCACACACAAAATGTTAGAAAAACATGTGTTTGTTTTGTAATCTCTTCCCTTTTCCAAGAGGTTAAGGGTGCACATGAAGCAGACCTGTTGCCACTGGCACTGGGAATGAGTACAGAAGAGAACTTCAGCATGGGCATCACCTGCAATTTGATATTTAAGAGATCAAGGAATAACAGGACCTTCAAGGAATAACAGTCCAACCCACTGGTTTTACATATAAGAAGCAAATCTCAGAGAAACTGCTGACTTGCTCAACACAACCAATTAGTGGCAGAGCTGGGATGTGACCTCTTCCTCATCCCAAGAAGTGTGGTCAAAGAAGTTTGTACCAAGTCCACTCTCAGCGAACAAAGGCAGAGAAATGGAGAGACATAGAACAAAGGGAAGGAAACCATTGCCATGACTATATTCCAATATGATCAGAGCTGACTCTACATTTAAGGAGAGTGTAGGAGGATAAAAATATCTAAATTTTACCTGTGTTTGTGTGCACACCTACAAACGGCCACTGCACAGTTTAGAAGCTGGTAAGTAGAAACGGAGGGAATGCAAGCAGCCCCACTATCTCTGCCTCTGTCTTTGTCCTCTCCATCCCACTCTCCCTGACCAGATTTTGCTCAGGTATCTTCATGGGAATTGACTGGATCTTCTTTAAAAAAATTTTTTTTAATTGATTTCAGAGAGGGAGAGGAAGAGATAGAAACATCAATGATGAGACTCATCAGTCAACTGTTCCTGCACGCCCCCTACTGGGGATCAAGCCTGTAACCCACCCAGGCATGTGCCCCCAACCAGGAATCCAACCATGACTTCCTGGTTCATAGGTTGGTGCTCAACCGGTGAGTCACACTGGCTGGGCATGACCGGCTATTTTAATTCATGAGAAGTCAAAGTTAGTTTTTATTAGAAGGGGATAGAAAGGAAAGGAGATGATATTTTTAAACATTGAGAGTCAGATGGAAAAAGATAAGGAAGAGCAGAGGAGTGAAGGGGCGAGGTGGGCAGGGCTGCAGGAGTGGTGATATGGCTGCCACCTCACAAGGGCTCCTGAACCTGCCAGGAGCACAAGAGGGCCTTCTGCATCTGCCCTCCAGGCACACTCCCCTTACTCGGTGAGTTTCCCAGCACCGAGAGGAGGGAGCGGTTTGTGCAAAATGAGTAGGCAAGAGCTGGAGATAGCAGCAGCTGTGCATTTGCCAGGGCCCTGCCAAATTCTGGAAATTACCTTGGCTTTGTGCCAAGACGCATCCAGCACAGAGAAAACGAGGAATGGAAGAGGCAACGTGACCATATGGCCTTCAAATTCTTGTGTTTATTATATAACACAAATTTTCCCATGTTGCTAATAGAGGATAATTTTATATAGATCATATTCTGAGTTTTATATTATAAACATGAGTAAATCAAAGAATTTAGAAAAATTTTCCCCTTAGATAAAATTTTCAGTGTGACTAAAATTGAATAACATTTTAATTTAAGCATTATTGCTGAGATTTCTTGATTGATGTTGAAAATTTCCCAAGCTGTCTTCTCTTTATTTGGGTTTTTCTTGCCTTAAATTAAACACAGTCTTGCTACCCTAACCTCTTGGTCATTTCTTTAAAATACATATAGTAGTATTTCAAGCATAAGAGACTTCTGCTATTAGGGCATCATTTCCATCTTAAAATTGGGATTAAGTTACTTGTTCACAGTAATAACATAAAGTGATCTTCCCAGGATAGAGGTCTATCACCAAGATCTTGCTTGGAATTTTGAAAAACATTAGATAGCTTTTTAATGGAATTAAAATTCTAAGTTATTTAAAATCAGATCAAAAGAGTGGCCAACGATCATGCTTTTATCTCTCACCTGCTCTTATAACTATGAACCATCTACAAAAAGTTCTATTTGAGAGGATAATTATAACCTCCCATCAACCAAACCCACTCACCTACCTCATCTCATCTTTATAACATTTCACTTAAAAACCATGCACTCAAAAAATACTGATTCAGTACTTACCATATACCTATATTTTTGGTTAAGATTCTGAATGTTTATTAATACTGAAGTATGCTGGAGCCAGCAAAAAATAAAAATTACAAAAAGGCAAATTCTC